AGAGTATTGTCTCTTCCTTTTATTATTATTTTATATATATATATATATATATAGTTAGAAAAGTTTCTGTAACATCGCCTTTTTCCTGTGAAGTATACTGGTCTGGGGTCAAGTGTGAGGTATTCGGTAGTGGTTCACTTGATTCTTACAAAATCGATGGACAGGAAACTCGAAGAAAAGAAGAGACACTGCTAAGGGAATAAAAAAAGAATAACATTAGAGGAAAAGAAATGAAAAAATGTAGGTTTTTATCGTCGTACTTTCGGACTACGATCGTGGATTAGATTCTCATCAGTTATGTAAATTATTCACTTAATGGCTTGAAGAGTGCGAGATGGAAATTCTGTTCTTTGATGCCAATGTCGCTTTTCTTATGCTGTTGGGGTAACAATAAAAACGCCTTTTTTGGTCAGGCACAAACTTTTAGCAACGTAGGAAAAAAGAAAAAAATATCAGTAATCTGCATACCTTTAGCAAATATTTGAAAACTTCGCTACTGTATCTAAAGTATAGAGAAAAAAACCCAAAAATTTACGTCAGTATGAAGGAAATACTTATTTAAAAGCAAACATTACTAATTCCTAACATTTTTTCCCTCGTTAGCCCTTTTAAAAAAATATAAAAAAATATTGTTTCTTACAAATTACTTTTATTTTTCTTATTAAATATGTAAGAATCACACGCATAATCATAGAACCATGTGAATGCATGCTTTTGTTTTCATTTCTTTTTCCAACAACACTTAAATCACTTAGTGAAATCATTGTAGGGAAAAAAATAATATAATTTAATCTTTAAAAATAATTTTATATCTTTCAATAAAACTTATAAGTAATTTTTACAGTTAAAATGCTTAAAATTCTGTATAAACTAACAGTTTAATTAAATTTAAAAGACTTTTTGATCATCACACTTTATCCAAATTGTTATTTAATTTAGTGATCAATACACAGAAGAGATAAATAATGTAACACTGTAATTTTATTAAGAAGAAATTTTCAATTTATAAATGCTTTAAACTAAACTTAGACAAGAAAAATTGAAAATATTATAAAATTAAAATTAAACTTTACATTATAATTAGAAAAATTTGATAAATATAAATAATAAATCTTTACGAAGAGAGGAGAAAAATTTATCATCATTTTTATCAGATGCTATTCAACGAATAAAAGTTTTTGCACTGTTGCAATTACATGAAGATAAACATAATTAAAGTATCATAAAATTTGTTTATATATAATAAAATACGATCATTAAAAAAAGTCTAGTAAAATTTAACTCAAAAACTTCATTAAAGTAATTAATAGAACATAATAGCATTCGTGTTAATTAGTTTTAAAAGCTTCCTTCATTTTCATAAATAAAAAATTATTAAAAATAAAAAAAATCAATTATTTAGATATAAAAATATATAAAATCGAGTTAAAATATTTTAAAATAATTTTTTTATATATTCTTCTTTCAAAATACTTAAAAATTTGATATAAAGTAGAAAAATATAAACTTAAGCATTGAGAAGTTAAGCTTACTTTATCATTTTATGTTTATATATATATATAAAGATTTTTCCTTTAAAATTATATTTTAGCAATTTTGTAAATATTGAAACGAACTTTCATTTAAACAAATTTCATGTTTATGAAAAAATAATAAAATTTAAATTTAAATATCAAAAAAAGTCTTATCTTTGTAAGATTTTGTTTATGAAAAATATTCTGTATAATCATATTAACAAATTATACTGGACTTGTTATAACAAGATTTTACGTTAAATTTTTCAAATTTTAAGTTATTTTTTTGGATAAATTTAAATTATTTTTATAATAACAGTAGATTTAGATCTACTACTAGTAAAGTAATATTTACTCTATTGATATATAACGAATTAACAAGCTTCAAACTTGACTGTTAATATACAGATCCACTATTACTGTTACCATTGATACTACTGATCTTACCACTGATACAAATTAAATTTTTATAAAATTAAAAATTCGAATATTATTAATATTATTATTAGTTGTAGTAGTATAATAAAAAATCTCATTAGCTTGTTTATAACTCTTTAATTAAGAATAAAACTATAATTTAATGATGCTAAAAATTAATTTAAACACATTTATTACATGTAAATAATAATAATAACAATAATAATTTATTAAATATATAACCTAAGTTAATAAACATTTAAAAATATCACTTTAATTTTGTTAATATTAAAATCAAAATTTTCTAATTAAAAATACTTTTATTAAATTTATCAACTTTAAAATTATAATTAAAGGAAAGTTAAATATAATTTACAAGTATTTTATTTTATTTTTTTGCAAAGTTTATTACTTAGAATTTATTAATTGTATTAAGGCTAAAAATATACAGTAAAGTAAATATTTTTGTGAAGAAATCGAATTATTACTTATAAACTATATTATGTCTATAGAAACAGCAATCTAGATGAGTGACTAAGTTAATTACAAATATTTTTCTTATATATTTCATAGAAAAGAATTGGAGTAAGATCACTTAGATAATTAAAAAAAAATTCTTTTTCTAACATTCTTCATTATAACATAAAAATATTTATTTAAATATTAATAATTTTTAATCTCGAGAACAATGTTAGATAGATAGAATTCGAGACCAGTTATGCAAAACTTATGGGAAGTAGGCCACGATTAATTACAAAAAAATTTTGATATGGACCGGAAGTGACGATATTTCAATTCAAAAATTCTCTCCTGAAAAATTGTTAGATAGATGACCGGCACGACTCTATTGTTAAAGGAAAAGTATGATGTACAGGGGCAAGCCACTACTCATTTGAGGTGGAGAGCGTATATTTTAAATTAAATAAATTAATAATTATGATTAAAGATTGCAGCCCGGTATTGTGACAATGCCATTTTACAATGACATTTTAGAAATTACATATTTATAAATAAATTTTATATATTTTAGAATCAAACTTTATGAATTTTTTTAAATATAAAAATATATTATAAAAGTAGTTATTGTGAAAAATTGCAGAGATTTTTTAAAAATATGTATTTAGTACAAGAGCTTAATAAATATTTTATTTGGCTGATTTATTATCATGCATTATTATTTAGCTCTTTAATATTTTAAAATAAATTCTAATAATTTTATCTTTTTAAACATTTTAATTTCTAATATTAAAACATGGGGATAATTCTCGTTAAATCTGAAATTAATCAGCTTTATATTATTTAAATATAAATTATAATAAATCAATGAATAACTTTAAAACGTATTTAATTTTGTAATTAATATTTGAATATTCATGCTAACTTATTGAACGTATTTTTGTGACGTATAAACGATTATTTTAACAAAATAAAAGGCCAAAATTCATAAATATCGACTTTTTAAATATATTATTTACTTTGCCTAATTTATTTAATATTATAAATATAATGAAAAAAATCATTAGCCAAAGAAGAAATTAAACTATAAATTTATCGAAAATTTTTTAAAAATTCTAAATAATATAAAAACAATTAAAAGTAAAGGGTGACCCAAAAGTCAGTTAACTGCTGTAAAAACTAAATCGTTGTTTCATTCAAATACTTCTTAACTTTTAAACTGATGTCTTTCTTGTTTAATATATAAATTAATGACTTTCTTACAAAATCTGCTGAAGTGATCACAAAAATACGGTGAAATGACTTTTAAGTCACACACTGTATTATTTTAGATTATAAGGAATGTAATTTAGAAAGAAATATTTAAAACTTTACATATTTTGCTACTTTTAATGTTAAATTATTGGGTTACAATTTGAATAAATTGTAGACTTATAAATTCCCACTGTCTTCCGTCCGGCCGTCTATCCTTTCTTAATCTCGAGAATGGAATTATTTGAGAATAAATTGTTTTTTTTAATGATTTATCCATTGTAAAATCATATTTATGTATATGAAGATAAATTAAGTGATTATTCTAGTTATAACTGAACGGTATTATTTATTATTTTATTTATAAATAAAAATTTTGTTAATCCTTAATATTTTTCCATCGTTTAAAAGTATATTAATTAGGTTTATTAATTGAGAAGTTTTAAAGTTAAAATTAAGTTTGTANAAAATATATATTTTTCAGACGTGTAATATGTAAAAAACATAATTCATCTGCAAAAAAACTGAGAAGAATATTTACAGAAAAGCAATAAACTAAACTTTCTGCTACAAGTGCAATAATAAAGAAACGTATCTACAATATGAATAATTCTAAACTAAAAACGATTAATTCGCTATAAATTTAATATATATAATAGATTTTTAAACCATTAATACTTTTTTTAAAAAAAATATTTTCAAGATGAAGAGCATCGTGCTTGAACGTTGGAAATTGTAGAAATGCTGTGATTTGCAAAACTGCACGTAAATCTTGACCATTATATATCATTTGTGAGACATCACTTCTATTATTCTCAATGCAAATTGTACTCTGGGGTGACATAATTTGTATTTTAACTGCAATGCGGAACAAAAGTGTTTTCTAGAATCGGTTACACTTAAAAAAATTTCATTATTTATAACAAGTGAATGAATAGAAGTGATGTGAAAAATGGGATTATTTTTTTAAGATTTTTTATATTAAAATTTTATTAATTTTATTTCATAAATTTAGAATGTTTTATAAATAATTTGCGTAAGAAGAAAAAAAATCGTATTTAATAATAAAATATATTTAACTGAATATGATTTTTATATAAATGAATACATTTAACTTTATTGAAAATGCCATATTATGTGATGTATGCATGTTTCTCACACAAATCCCATTTTTTTTCACTAGGATTGTTTGTCTTGATCTCTTAGTCATTGTTCATTTTGTCACATTGTCCCGTTGTTTCCATTATTTTTGATAGTCTTGACTCGACCAACTACATCCAACATTTTTTACTGTCAGAAAAGAAACAGTACTTAGTTTCTTCTGGGAATTTCTTCTTCTTAACTGTATCAAAGAGAATCTTGCCTGAAGTTATATTTGTAAAACTTCACAAAAGACTTCTTCAGCTAAAATTGTGCAATAACAGCATCCTTTGGAATAAATTGTTTAGCTTCGGGCATCCAATTTAACGTGCTCCATATCAAACTAATAAGATTTTTATATAAAGCATGGTTTTATTATATATAATTTTTTTTGTTCCCCCCTCCTATACGTTGTTACAGGTTGCATGGTTAAGAGTGGAAAGTAAGACTATATTAACTATACACAGACATGTTATTACGAGAAACTACAGAATAAATTTAAGCCATAGTGAACATAAAAATTTTATTCTGCATATAAACAATGTGCAAGAAAGCGATATTGGAGGATACATGTGTCAGATAAACACAGTTCCTATGAAGAGTCAGGTTGGATATTTGGATGTTGTTGGTGAGTAGTTTTTTGTATTTCATCGTGTAAAAATATTTTATTTATAATTTTATACTATTTATAAGCTTTAATTAATAGATTTTTTAATGAAAATTTATATTTTAAACAAGAACATATGGATTTGTTTATTTATATTCTAAGTCGTTTCCAATGGGTGTACATAAAATGTATGCTTTAAATTATATTCTGTACCTCACTGAAATGTCATTTTTCCTACTTCAACATATGTAAATCATTCTTTGCTTTTGTGTCCTTATCAATTTATTGAAGTTATGAATGTAACTTATGATTTACAATGAATTGTTATGACGTTCTACTCTATAGCCTGAATACATTTATAAGTTTCTTAGCTACTTTAAAAACGAAACGAGTCTACAACTGGATTATAAATCTATTTTTTTGAATTCAAAGATTTCTTACAAACAAAATAAAAACTTTAAAAATTACAATAAATTAATTATTCCTTAACGAAATAAATCAGTTGAAAGAATCTCTCCATTGTTTGCATTCCCAACAATCTACGATTCATCAAATGTTTTGGCTTATAAAAAAGATGAAATAGTAAGAAAAAAAATTATAATTTTAATTACTAAAATTGATGAAATAAATTATAAAATATTCTAATATAAAAATTAATCGCGAAAAACTCTACTGAACTGAAAAATTACTCGTCATCATTCTAGTAATGGAACAATCCAAATGGCAAAAAATGAAAGCTGGAGAATGAAGAAAATAAAGAGAATAAAAAAAAATTGAATTTAAGTTAGAAAGACGATCAGAAAAATGACTTTTGAGGCTTTTTAAAACTGATGACGGCTGCTTAAATAGAGTGAAAATTGTAAATACCCTTTGGGCAATAGTTAAGATACAAGTAACCAACGAATGTCAATTTTTCTATTTTGAAATTATTTAATTTTTTTTAAATATATTTTTCTTACTTAGTTTATATATTTTCAGTATTCTCTACATAAAAATAGTAAAAATTTCTATAACACGTTATTTAATTAGTTAATTAATGCGTTAAAAGTTATAAAATATTCAACTATTCGTGGGTAATTTAGCCCTTAATTAAGTTATTTCTAATGATTTTGTTTAGTTTATGTTCCTCGTGAAGATAAAAAGAATGCAATATTTAATTATTTATTTTACACGAAAACGTTAAATTTTCTTTATTATAGTTAACGATCAGACAGGAAAACTAACGAAGAAAAAAATAATAATAATAAAGTTTTGTTAACAAGTTAAAGTTTTGAATTTCTATCTCTTCACGTTTATGATTTATTTAAATATTTACTAAAAATATTTACGAAAACTGATAAAATATATATTTTTCAGACGTGTAATATGTAAAAAACATAATTCATCTGCAAAAAAACTGAGAAGAATATTTACAGAAAAGCAATAAACTAAACTTTCTGCTACAAGTGCAATAATAAAGAAACGTATCTACAATATGAATAATTCTAAACTAAAAACGATTAATTCGCTATAAATTTAATATATATAATAGATTTTTAAACCATTAATACTTTTTTTAAAAAAAATATTTTCAAGATGAAGAGCATCGTGCTTGAACGTTGGAAATTGTAGAAATGCTGTGATTTGCAAAACTGCACGTAAATCTTGACCATTATATATCATTTGTGAGACATCACTTCTATTATTCTCAATGCAAATTGTACTCTGGGGTGACATAATTTGTATTTTAACTGCAATGCGGAACAAAAGTGTTTTCTAGAATCGGTTACACTTAAAAAAATTTCATTATTTATAACAAGTGAATGAATAGAAGTGATGTGAAAAATGGGATTATTTTTTTAAGATTTTTTATATTAAAATTTTATTAATTTTATTTCATAAATTTAGAATGTTTTATAAATAATTTGCGTAAGAAGAAAAAAAATCGTATTTAATAATAAAATATATTTAACTGAATATGATTTTTATATAAATGAATACATTTAACTTTATTGAAAATGCCATATTATGTGATGTATGCATGTTTCTCACACAAATCCCATTTTTTTTCACTAGGATTGTTTGTCTTGATCTCTTAGTCATTGTTCATTTTGTCACATTGTCCCGTTGTTTCCATTATTTTTGATAGTCTTGACTCGACCAACTACATCCAACATTTTTTACTGTCAGAAAAGAAACAGTACTTAGTTTCTTTTGGGAATTTCTTCTTCTTAACTGTATTTGAAGTAATATTTCTCTTGAAAATTACCATAAAATCAGAAATAACTAAAGAAAAAAAGCAGATAAATTTATTTCGAAAAATAAAATACACAAAAGATGTTATATTTTCTTTTGAAATTTTGAAAAAAAAATTAATATATTAGTAACATAATAATAATATGGTAGTGTGACACTTTAAAAATTATTCAGAAAAATAACAAGAATATTACTTCTACGTCATTGAATATGCTAACAAATAGGGATGTATGTGTTAGAAATGCTTAGTTATTATGGTCGAGAGGACAGAAAGAAACTTCAAACAAGAAGTGGAACATACTCTATATAAGATTGGTAGACTCCTTTAGTAATTTGCCCTACAAACACATAGTTTCTGCTTCGTTAAATATGTTGTAAATTTATTACCCTTTCTCTTGCCTGAACTACTCTATTCTTCCATCTAGTTCCACCAGAAATCATTGACACAGACAGCAGTTCCGATGTTTTAGTACGAGAGGGATCGAATGTTACAATGACCTGTCGCGCAAAAGGTTACCCAACACCAACCATAGTGTGGAGAAGAGAAGATGCCCAAGCTATAGCCGTTGGCAACTGGCAGAGTAACAAAATTTCAGGTATGTACTGTACAGTTTACATACTTTACATCTTTCCATCGGCTACTTTATTAGCCTTAAAGAGCTATACAACCCATTTTACAAGGTAGTTCTCTTACACGCGACGTTCGTTTACAACGTCTTGCTGTTGTCTTAATGTGCCTTTTTTGCTGTATTTATAGCGAAATTCTCAGCTTTTTCGCACATTTTTAATAGATTTTTCAGTTATTTCTATATCTATAAATAAATATCAATATGATTTGTAATTTTTATGAACAGACGTATTTTGGCACTTAAGATCTTTCATGGTAATATGAAGATTTTAATGCTTTCATATTAAACTTTTGTAATAAAAATTATTTATATTTAAAAATTATACACGAAATTATTAACATTTCCCTTCTTTCTATGCATAAACTTACACATTTACATGAACTAGAGGGAGAGGAGAGAATACATATTTAATGCATTGCTTATATGACTCTAGTGAGCAATAAGTTAAAAAATATATAGTAAAAATAGTTATAAAATATTTTATTTATTCATATCACTGAAAAATGCTATTAAAATTGATATTTTTTTGCCATGGAAGTCACTTAAATTAACAAAAAAAATTTATGTTAAAATAAAAAATAATAATTCTCTCTTGATTTCTTGTACATTAACATTAAAAAAAATTCTTATTTTTATGTTAAAACTTTATAATAATTTGCGTGACTTGTATCTATCTAGATGTTCTTCAGCTATTTACGTAAATAACATTTATTAACTACAATTCAGGTAGATGTTATTCAGGTAACAAAAGAAGCCCAGGAAAAGATTCTAGTTTGGTAAATGTATGTGCAGGAAATCAAAGTTTTCCTTTATATAGACTAATTGAATCTTGATGGTTTGTGAAGTGACTACTGCAAATGCTTCTATTGTATCAGAAGAATTGTCATTTCAATAATTTTGTCAAGAGGTTCACGTAATAAGAGTCAATCTTTTTCAAATAATTTCAACTGATAATGATTTTTTTTTAGTGTTAAGTTAAGATAACAACTAATTTTGTGAACTTTAAAAATTAGTTTTAATTTTATTTGTTAAAAAATGATAGAAAATTCTATTAAACTTTATTAGAAAACTTTCTATAAATTCAAAAAAGATAGAAATGTGTACAAAATTTCTATATTGCAGAATATACCTGAAGGCAATACGTGTCACCTTTAACATTTAGGATTTAGCATCATCTAACCAACTGATATTTTTTTTATGATGATACTTTTGGAAATATTTTCAAATGATAAATTTTGATTTGCTATCGAAATTTACGAGGAATTTTCTATCGAATTAGTATATTATCAAAATTATTCTACTTCAACTTTTATATGGGATGTTACTTGGGATATTGAAAAATTTTACTGTTGCTCTTATATAATATCATTTAAAATATTCTAAAAAATATAAGTACGTTATCTCTTTATACTTTGATAACATATACAAATTTTGCGCATAAAAATTTCGCAATAATTCACTTCTTATCTGTAATTTATGATGATTATTTTTCATAAACATGCAAACAATTTCTGAATTTATTTCTGTATAAATAATATAAATCACTATTGAACTGTTTCGTCTAAAATTATTAAGGCAATAATACAGTAAAACTCGTGTAAATCGGAATAGCTTTTTCTCTTCCGTTTTAGACAGGTTTTTACTGTATTTTGAAATTACATGTTAAATTTTTATAGGCCTAAATAAAAACAAATTTATTGCATTTTCTTAAAATTAATTTGTATAATTTTAAAATTATACGAAAGAAAAATCGAATAGAATAAAAAAAAATATATATATATACGTCAATTTTAATAACTGAACAATTTCTTCTCTTTATTTACCATAAAACTAGTCATAACATTGATATATCTGACAGTATTATTATGTGAGATGTGCACAATCAGTAAGTCTTTTCCACTAAAACATTTCTGTACAATGTTTGCTCTATCATCTGAAATATATCTCACCACTTGAGTATTCTTATATGTTTTCATTTCTAGTTGTATAACATTAACGTCGAAGGAGGCTGATGTCATCAAAAACAATTGATGTTCCTCCAGAGTTTCTCACGTGTCGCATTCTCTCACTCATCATTCCCAATAGCGGCAAAGCTGCATGGTAATTCACTTTAGCTGTTCAACATAGTGAGAAGCTTCGAATGCAGGCCGTGTGATATTCTCTTGAGAAAACGGCGATCAAGCCGTCTGTAAGGCGACCGTCCATTTAAGCACCTTGCCAGAGTTAAAAAATCAATAGAGGAGACCTATAGCTTTGTCTCTCTTGAGGCGTGCACGTAAGCTTCTTGCTACAATAGGCCGACTGGAGCTGTCTCAGCATGACTTAGAGAAGTTGTCACTATAAGTGCTACAGCTAAATATTGTTCTGGCTTTCACCACCACGGGAATTATTGAACGACTCAATATTTCGTTGATTTACTGACTTTAAAAAGCGATTTTGCCGAATTAAAATAGAAAATTTCCTTTTACTAGTCGTATTATTTACTTTTTTATTCATAAATATATCTTTCTAAATCCAGATATATTGTGTAATAACAATATTCCTGTAATTTCTTTCTTTACCAAACGTTGCTCCGCTCGAATTGTGAAGACGAGCGATTAATCTTGTATGAAAATATGTAGTTTCTAAGAAATTAAGAATGAAAAATGTCAATTTAATTGTGATTCTTGCTTAGAATATGTTAAAAACTCATTTTTAGAAAACTTTGTAGGTTATTGATTATCTTAATTTCCTTTTTAATCCAATAGAAATACGTGAAAGAAGACGGATTTAAAGAAAAATAGATAAACTAAGATGTTTCAGACAATATCCATATTGTAAATATTGTCTGAAACATGTTAGTTTATCTATTTTTCTTTACAATTTAAGTTATTTCATTAATAGTTATTGTCTAGAAGAAATGGAAGAAGGTTTTATAAGTTCTACTTCGTAATTTATTATATTATTGGAAATTGCAATGTGATTTTTAATTACATATAAATTTAAAAGAAAAATCAAAGAAACCGAAAAAATTATAAGAAAAGTTAATGGAATAAATATTGATTATATATTTGTTTCACTAATAATTAGCTTTCAAAGTTTTTTGTAAAGAAAAATATACGGTGGATCATTACAAACATACATATAATATACAGAAAGAAGAGCCAAAATGGTGGAAAAATTGAAGAAAATCTTGTCAAGTTCTTTTAATATTAATAATTATCATTTATTACTAAAACATGTAAAAAAAAAATTAATCATCAAGAGAAATATTTAATCACATGTTGAGCATAATAAAGGAAAATGAAAAGAAGATTCATTGCAACTTTTGTTTTAGTTAAGTCGATATAAATATTGACGATATATTAGAGAAAGTATTTATTTTGCAAGTAATTTATTCACGTAGAGATCCGAACATACCATTTAGGTGAAAGGTTGTTTGACAAATGGCTTTCTGTCGGGGATTACTTGTTGCTCACAATAGGTTTGTATGAAGCTCCTGTTGAGGAGCGCCTGGCTGGCTCGCAGCCAACCTTACAGTCTCCAGCATCAGCTACTTTTGTCAACTTTTTCCACGTCGCCAGTCGCTGAGATGGCGCCACTGTCTAGCCGCATCCATTGTCGCCAAATGTCAGGTTAGGAATGTGAAAGACAGTCGGTGGCGTCTTTCCGTCACTTATTTGCCAACACGGGACAGTTGTCTTGTCACGAGACGGTAAACTATGAATTTTGGTCAAGTGGTCGTCTCTTCTTCAATCGATGTAACTTGTAGTCTGTCTGTCCGACGTATACTCTGCTGATTTATTGTATCGAAGGGAGAATACGTGATTGAACTAAAGCAAAAGGAAATGTATATATATATATATATAAAAGAACATTACCTGTTTAAATAAAAATACTTTTATCAAATCTGACAGTTTTACTGTTTTCCACAGAAAATGAGAATCTTGAAAGAATAAAAAAAAAAAGAGAAACTTTCCAAGTGATCAACTTATATAAATTCCTTACTAAAACTTTACCTTCTTTCAACTTGACATTTTAAAATATTGACATGTCCACTTCAGTTGATTAAAATTTTAAAAAAACGCTAAATTGATCATTTAAAAATTTAATTATAGTTTATTAATTTTGAAAATTACACGTAATTTTTTACCTTAAAAAAAACTTTTTTATTTTTTGTTAAAAAGTATTTCATTACTCGAGGGACAAATATTTTATCAAATGAAAGATATGTGTCAACTTGTAAGAAATTCATTTTGGAAAATCTCCCAAGAGAATCCTTGTTACTTATCAAAAGAAATAATAAGAAATTCGATTTAAAAATTAATATTTCAATTGTATAATTGATATAAACATAAATTTAATATAAGTAAATACGAAAATCGATGTTTACATATAGATAATTCTTATGAAAAGTTCCTTTTATAGAACATCAAATCTGACCCTGTAAAATTTCTATGGAGTGGAGACGACAGCTTAAATGGATTGTCACATCTTCTTTCTTAAAAAAGTAAAATAGCTGAAAGAAGCGAAGAAAATCTTTCTCGCTAATTTCTGAACTGTTCATCTTCTCAAAGTTACCGTTATCCCATAAAACTAGATTATCTGTCTGTAATTCCACAGAAAAATCACTGAAACGGAAAAGTGAAGAGGAGAGAGAGAGAGAGAGACGACGACGACGAATAGAACACAAGAAAGAAGAACGAAAAAAATATAAAAAAATAAAAAAACTATTCCTGCTTGAAATTGCACGGTTGCCGAATTCCATTTGAAACGATGTCTCACTTGTTTCTTTACAATCAATAGCTGAACTAAGATAGATCTTTACAACTTATTGACATTTCAAGATATAAAGGAAAAAATAAATAAATAAATTCATTTATTTATTTATTTAAAAAATATATATATATTGTAATTGAATCGATGTACAGTACATATAAATTACTTCAATTTTTATATAAATTTTTTTTCTTAGTTATTCGCATTGCTTCCAGCACTAGAATTAATGCAATTGTAGTACGATTGTGTGAAGGTGTGGTCATTTTACAGAAATACGCCCAAAACGGAGATGATTCTATTTAATAAAAGATCCTCTCAAAAATGATTTCGTTATAATGTGAATTCTTTCCCTGAAAGAATTTCTGTATTACTACTCCCTTTGCTCTATTCAGTATTCATTAAAATTGAAGGCATCATCATCGGAAGATACTAAACTTGATATGAATTATTGTACTCTACTTTTTCTCAGATGTTTTCATCGAAAAGTAAGTAAAAGAATTTGTTGAAAAATCTCTTAAAGAAATTTTTATTTGATAAAAGTTTCAATTTGATAGGGTTTTTTGGGGGGACATATTCGAAAAAAATCCTGTGTAAAACTGCTAAAGAAATTCCAAGAAACTAAGAATTTGTAGAGCCGTGGAATTATATTTTAATAAATGCAGAATGTTTTCACTATGTATACAATTTCAAACTGCTTTTACAGTCTTTCATCCATAAAAGTGATTAATTAAGTCTCTGGTTTTAAGAAAATAAACAGTGTAGCGAATGTATAAACATACTTCTGTAAGTTAGAGAATTTTATAATTAAGAGAAATTAAAATTTGCAATATTTTTATAATTTATATACGTTTATATAGATGAGGAACTCTTCTTATCTATTAACTATTTCCAAAGTGCTACGAATAGATTAAAAAAATAATAATAATAAAATAAAAAATATATTTTTATATATTTGTAAAATTTTAGAATATTTCCAAAAGAGTTTTCTGTCATAAAAAAAAAAGATTAATTAGCTCGTTTTCTGAAAGAAAAATGAGAGTAAAGAAAGAAGTTTAACGTGTAGAGAGTGAGAGCCAGATACAATATATTACAACTTTGTAAAGTAAATAATAATTTAAAATTTTGTCTTGAGATAAACAAAATTGTCTTTGGGTGTTTTCATCAAAAACTAATTAAAAGTATCTGAAAAATCTTCTACAGAAATTTTTTTCTATCAAGTTTCACTTATAATTTTTCTTAAACATTATTAGAACTCAACATATCTTAATAAAATAACTGTGAAAATCATAAAATATTATAAATTATTAATTAAATTTTTCTTATAACATTAAATTTAGTTTATAAAATGTTTTTATATAAAAGTAACGATTTTTCATTGAACGTATTAGTACAAAATTCCTGTAAAAAGAGTGTTTTACCTTGTTACTGGATATACAAAATTCATAAAATTATAATTTATTTATTGTTATTGTATTACAACGATTTAATTAAGTATACAGAATAGTTATACAGTTTTTATAATTATTTTTTAATACAAATTAGCTAAAGATTTTCCGTAATTATCCATCGAAATTAAATTAAATCGTGTAGACAATAGTGGATACTTATAAGTAATATACACGCTTTATATACAACAAAAATTCAACATATTTAAAAAATTTTTAATATATTATTTAGATTTTCTTGTCAGAAAAATAATTTAAAATGTTTCAAAATCAGTTAAAATAATTAACATTTTACATTAATTGGAAAAATGAAAAAAATGTAAATTATTTTTAAAAGATCTAAAAAAAAGGTGATCGTAAACATATTTTATCTTCAAATTAATAAATGGAAAGTACTTTCTCGTAAATATACTTTGAAACTTAATTTTAGAAGCTATCTAACCATAAAAAAAGATTAATTAACTCGCTAGTTTGTATAACCAAAAAGAAAAAAAAGAAGGGTATTGATATCGCAACTGGAATCGTGTTGTGTATATCAGTAACTTCTCAAAATAAACGATCGCTTTAGATTTAGTTTCTAGGAACGAGTACAAAAAACAAGATTATATTTCTACAAGTTTTGTTCTCCTTATATATATATATATATAAATAAAACGAAAGGGAACAAGCGTCAAAGATACCCAAGAAAAGTGAAAAAAATATTTGCCTCAGACCAACTAGAGTAAAGTAAAAACGATGTAAATAATCAAAAAACATCGGCTACGGGCGTAATTTTATTTTTATTTCTTAGAGAGTTTGTCTACTTAGGTAACAGAATGAATTCAGAACTTTAACTCCTACAGATCGTCCGAGTGTTGACTCTATATGTATTCTTGAATGAACAGCTGTCACCGTCACACTGTCAACGTTTTCTATGCTAGAGGCATTTCCTGATGGGTAGATCTCATCCACATTTAAGCTGTCAAGTCCCGCTGTGCTATAAGTGTTCTTCAACCCTCTCAGTCACTCAACAACACAGAAAGAAAGAACTTGGAATGTTAGATGCACGTTTAACTGCTTCTCCAAAAACTACTCTTATTAGTAAAAATTTCTTTTTGTATACTAAACTTTAATAAAAACAAATAGCAAGAAAATAAAATAAAATAATGATGATAATAATAATAATAAAAATAAAGAGAATTCAACAATGGAAATAAATGGCTAACAGTTTTTACGATTACAATTTATCATAAAAATTAAATTTTCATTTTAGTTATTTTAATTAAAATTTTTATTTTAATTATAATAATTAAATGTTACATAATTTTAAATATGCTTTTAATAATTTATTTTTGTTTAATATTACTATCATTTTGTATTATCGATTTTTCTAATTTAATTTAACCCGTTGTTAATAATAATATAAAAAAATATTTTTAAAAAATGGAAGAAAATTTATTTTAATTTTCGGCTTTAATAATTTTATTAAGCTATAAAATTAGGTTTGAGAGAATATTTTTATTATATTTGCTATGTAAACATGCTTGTTAATTTTTAAATTTAATCTAGCATCCATTATCATAAAAGGAAGAAGAGGAGGAAGAGCAAAAGAAAAAAATAATTATTTTTATAAAAATCGTTAAATAATAATTCTATACAGTTACTGAGCAAAATCTAGCATTTTATAGCTATTACTAGATCTTAATAAATTTTATTCATTAGTAAGTAGATTTAGAAATAAATTAATGAAGTAGGAAAAACCATTAAATTCCTTAGTAATGAATATTTTACTAATTGCTCGCGCAGAGAGTAAAAGGAGTAAAAGTGCTTTTTGATTCAAGAATTGTCTTCAAAAATAAAATTTTTAATGAAGTAAGAAAAAGAAATAAATCATAATTCAGGTGATTAAAAAGTATATCAATTAATTTAAATAAATTTTCCTTTAATTTACAAAGAATTGATGGATTCAATTCTCATTGAGTCTCAATACTCTTCAGCATCTTCTGAAAGAGAAAACTTAGAACGATAATGAGATTTAATGTAAAAAACTTTTAGAAATGTGATTAATAACTGTAAATTTTGTAGTACAATTTTGATTGAATAATTTATTTATAAGAATTTCGTTGAAACTATTGTCGTGTGGGCTATTTTGTGTTACTTAACGTAGTTTATAGCAACCCCACGCTGAGTTATGTTATCGTCAAAGGGATGTTCTCTCTGTACATTGTTGAAAGAATAATGACATGGATCGATACAGCAATTGTTCATTATTTCTTGATAAAAACAAAAGTTTTTAAGCTTACTTTTTACCTTGAAAATGGTACAAATGAAACTAACAAATCGTCTTAAAGAATTACATTAAAAATTAATACGTAAATTGTATTTTCTTTATATTAATTTTATAAATTCGAAGATAAAATATGAATTTAATCTTTTTATACATAGTAATATATAATTTATACTTTATAAATTTTCCATTTTTCTTAGTTATAAAACTATTCATGAGTTAATGCTATCGATTCACGTTATAAACAATAAAAATAGCATATTCCATTAATGTTTTCTATATTTTTATACAGAATTGACTTATGAAGGAGAAGAATTACATATTGTTAAAGTAAGCAGACTTCACATGGGAGCTTATTTATGTATAGCATCCAATAACGTCCCACCATCAGTCAGTAAACGAATTATGTTACAAGTACATTGTAAGTAACCATAACTCATTTTACTCTATATAAAATTCGAATTTTAAGTTATATAAAATGTAAATTTTGTAAAATTTACAATTAATATATATATATATATATAATTTCAAGAAGAGTAAAGAAACGTAAAGAAATATTGCACTATAAAGTGATGAAGATATGTAACTGAAAAGCAACAAACTTCAGAACTTCAGTGAGAAAAAATAAAGTTAAATCAAGTGAAAAGAATGAACTGTAAACTAAAAAACTAAATCCGAATATTAAATTTTATCCTTTAAAAAAATTTTGGTATACCAAAAAATTGTTTTTTTTTTATAAAGCAAAAAATTCTTCCACATCCAAGAAACTCATCGAGCGTATAATAAAAATGTGTAATATGTAAAAATTTAAAGCTTAATACGTAAATATATGCTTTGTTTTCTTGTATAGAAGTAAGTAAAGCCGACAACACTCAAGATGGAAACTCGAGTAGTATTTTTTATTTATTTATTTGTTACAGAAAAATATTTATCCTATATTTTATACATAACTCCGACTTTGTTTATGGTTATAAAATACCAAAATATATTTAATAAAAGAAAATTTAATTTTTTTTCATGCTATAAATATTGCCATTTTTATAAGGATAATATTTATTCAACTTAATTCAGGGATTGTTGAAAGCAATTTTATTTGAAAGGTAATATATCTTACACTAACTGGTATACGTCGTCCGATTTAATCATCTAAAAATGAGAATTACGTGAGATAGTTGTCAAATAGTTCTTAGTTATTCAGTTGATATCGCATTTTTCTTTCTTTAAATTATACAAATTATTCGTACAGATAGCATAGTAACTTATCGATAGTACTTGATATAATCGGTATTATACGACAAATATGCGTGAGACTTTGGTTGATTAAACAAATGTTATAACTCCAATAATTGCGTATTCTATCATTTTTGAAGGATAAATCTAACCTGATAAAGAAAAGATAACATTTTTCAGTTGAATTTTACTTTATGGCATATCAAGCAAAGGTATAAAGAAATGAAAACTCGACATCTCGAAGCCTTCTGGACAGATCTTCTTGAAAGTGTAAAGTACCGCAACTATTCATTGGAGACAAAAATTCTAAAAATGGTCAAGAACGAATCAAAAATTGACACTTCTAGCCTAAAGCTAATCTCATGAACTATTAAATTCCAGAAACTTTTATTGTTATACTAGTTTTAAGTTTTTAAATTCTTTATTTGAAACGTTCGAGTTTTCGTACTTGGTTAATGCTTTCAAAACTCCATTTTTGTTCAAATAAAATACATAAATTTTCTATAACTACGTATAGAACATAAAATCTTAATAAAATTTACGAAAAATTCTCATAATTATGTCAAGTATTCTTGAATCTCTCCGAAAATTTACCACTTCATACTCGAAAGTATTTGTCAAAACAAACTTTTAACAGGAAGTATAAAATTATGATGAAAATATAAATAATGATAATTACTTGATACATGTAAAGGACATTTCTCATCATCATCCGGAAATAATTCATTCAACAGTTAAGTTAATAGTTTCAAACTGTCTGAAAGTTTCATTGTTTTGTGATGTAATTGGTTTCCTTTGCATAAAACTAGCTTGCAAATTTATAAAATGGTACTTCAGGAGTCACGTTTCTCGTTGTAGTTGCAAAACTTCTTCACTGAATAAACCTTTACTGAATTAAATTTATTTCGATATTTACGCTTCGGATCTCTACATAAAAATCTACAAAATTTGGTAATTGCGTGTTTGTTATTGTATGATACTTCCTCCTGGCTATATTAATAATATACTTTCGTGAGTAATTCCATGAAATTTTATCAATTTGTAACTGATTTATACATAAATCTTTCTAAATAAATTACCTGTTTACATATGTGATAGATAGAATTTTTATAAAATTATCGATTAATTCGTTCGATGTATCTTCATTATTTCATTTTAGAAAAACTATTTTTATCTCTTCTAAGCTCATCGTCGACTTAAATTAAAGCTCTTTTTATACAGGAAACATATTTTTATACATAATTACGAAAGTAAATATTGATTTTTTGTTTTTATTTTTGTGATATTAATTTTTTTTCTCCCCGTTGCAGATTTGATCTCGAATTTTTCATTCTGTCTTATAAGATAATAAATTAGAATTAACGGCTGTTAAATCAAGATTAACTATTAATAAATCATATTAGTTAAAACAAAATTAACTTTATTATTTATTTCGTCATAAACAATAAGAATTTATTAAATAAATATTAATAATAATATAATACATTTAGCTTGTTTTCAGGTAGAAAGCTTGTTAAGTTTCACTCCTAAAAACTGTAATTGTAATTAAATTTTAATTGTAATTAATACATTATAATAATTTTATTAAAATGAAACCTCAAGAAGAATTTTATTAAGTTAAAAAGATTTCAGCAAAATTTATGGTAGTTTAAAGTCGTAAAATGTAAATGTTCGATGTTGAGATCGTATTTAATCCTGCATAATTTTTTATAATAATTATAATTTTAAACAACTTATAAACTTATATATAAAATTTTA